GTCCCACCCCCCCTTCATACATTGTGGCCCTAGCTAGGAACACAGGTGATTAGCACCAGAAACCCTGTAAGCCGCTCTGAGACCCTAGCCATGGGACAAGAGCGGGATATCAAGTCTAATGTAAATAAATAAAATAAATAAATTTCCTGGTTCAATCAGATCTAGCCACAGCAATCTATGTTTCAGTTACACCTAGAAGGGACTACTCCAATATGCTATACTCAAAACTACTCTTGAGGAGCATTTGGAAGCTACAGCTAGTACAGAAGGTGGTGACTAGACTGCTGGTCAGGGTCCACTCCCATCTTTAAAAAGGGTTCCAGAGGAAATCCGGGAAATTACAGGCCAGTCAGTCTGACGTCGATACCGGGTAAATTGGTGGAAACCATTATTAAGGAAAGAATTAGTAGGCACATAGATGAACAAAACCTATTGAGGCAGACTCAGCACGGTTTCTGTAAGGGAAGATCTTGTCTCACTAACCTGTTAGTGTTCTTTGAGGGGGTGAACAAACATGTGGACAAGGGGGATCCAATAGATATTATTTACCTTGACTTCCAGAAAGCTTTTGATAAAGTTCCTCATCAAAGGCTCCTAAGTAAGCTCAAAAATCATGGGATAGAAGGACAAGTCCTTTTATGGATCAAAAACTGGCTAGTTCATAGAAAACAGAGAGTGAGTGTAGGTGGGCAATTTTCTCAGTGGAGGGGGGTAAGCAGTGGGGTACCGCAGGGATCAGTACTTGGTCCACTGCTTTTTAACTTGTTCATTAATGATTTGGAGATGGGAGTAAGCAGTGAAGTGGCTAAATTTGCGGATGATACGAAGTTGTTCAGGGTGGTGAAAACCAGTGAGGATTGTGAGGCACTCCAAAGGGATCTGTCAAAGTTGGGCGAGTGGGCGTCAACATGGCAAATGGGGTTCAATGTGGCCAAGTGCAAGGTGATGCACATTGGAGCCAAAAATCCTAAATATAAATACACGTTGATGGGGTCTGAACTGGCAGAGACTGATCAAGAGAGAGATCTTGGAGTTGTAGTGGATAACTCACTGAAAATGTCGAGACAGTGTGTGACTGCAATAAAGAAGGCCAATGCTATGCTGGGGATTATTAGGAAGGGTATTGAAAACAGATCAGCCAATATCATAATGCCCCTATATAAATCAATGGTGCGACCTCATTTGGAATACTGTGTGCAGTTCTGGTCACCACACCTTAAAAAGGATATTATAGCTTTGGGAAAAGTACAGAAAAGGGCAACTTGAATGATAAAAGGGTTGGAACAATTTCGCTATGAGGAAAGGTTAAAGCGCTTAGGGCTCTTTAGCTTGGAGAAACGACGACTGAGGGGTGACATGATTGAGGTTTATAAGATTATGCATGGGAAAGAGCAGGTAGAGAAAGAGGTACTTTTCTCCCTTTCTCACAATACAAGAACTCGTGGGCACTCAATGAAATTGCTGAGCGGTCGGGTTAGAATGGATAAAAGGAAGTACTTCTTCACCCAAAGAGTGATTAACACATGGAGTTCACTGCCACAGGAAGTGGCGGTGGCTACAAGCATGGACGGCTTCAAAAGGGAATTAGATAAGCATATGGAGCAGAGGTCCATCAGTGGCTATTAGCCACAAGGTATAGATAGGGACTCTGGGGCAAGTGATGCTCTGTCTTCTTGGTGCTTGGGGGGGGGGTCAACAGTGGGAGGGCTTCTAATGTCCTGGCCCCACTGGTGGACCTCCTGATGGCACTGGTATTTCTGGCCACTGTGTGATACAGTGTTGGGCTGGATGGGCTTTTGGGCTGATCCAACATTGGCATCTCTTATATTCTTAAGTATGTAACCCTGATATTACAGCTATTATACTGGCTACCAATTTGATCCTAGCCCAATTCCAGGTGTTAGTTTTGTCCTTTAAAGCCCGACATGACTTGGGACCAGGTTATTTGAAGGACCATCTTTTCCCATATGTTCCTGTCTGGGAATTAAGATCAGAGGGAGAGGCCCTCCTGACTGTCCCATTGACCGAAGTAGCTCATCTGGTGGGTACACAAGAGAGGGCCTTTTTGGCTACAACCCCACAATTATGGAACAGCTTCCACAATGAGGTATGCCAGGCTCCCTCACTTTCTATATTTGGGAGACCGCTAAATATGGTTTTATTTAGGACAGCATTTGAGTAGTTAGTAAATTCTGATTTTAATCCATGTTTTTTAATGAATTTTATACTTTATGTTCGGTTTAAATTGTGAGCCACCTTGAGTTCTGTAAGGCAGAAAGGCAGCTAATAAATATCTTAAATAAAAATAAATTTGCTGACTAGAAAAAGAGGAAAATAAAAGTTTTAAAGTAACCCAAAGAAAGCAAAAATGGGCAATAGTTTACCTATTACCAAGATCACAAAACAATATGCAAGCTTCCAAGTTCTACAGAATTCTACCTGAGGCAGCACATTAAAAAAGAGAGACAAAAGGGATCATGGCAGAGAATATCTGTCTCATGTGGCATCATGGTAAGCCAGGAAAGAATGCACTGCCATTTTATGTGACTGTGGTATTTGTTTATAATTAGTTTATGAAGCGTAGAAGAGAATCCCATTTGGACATACTCCAGGCTTTACAAGTGGAACCAGTCTTTGTCTTTCCATTTAAGGTATACAATGTTAAAATCTTCTTGTGATCACTGTTATGTTTATATATATTTTTAAAGAGAGTATGCATATGTGGATTCTTTCCCAACTGAGAAAAAACTCTATTAATACAGGATGCAGTGAGAAGAAAGGAGGTGAGGGGCTCTGGACTGGAGTGTTCAAAAAGCAGTGGACAGAGCAATCCAAGCATCTTTCAGGTTACTGGAGTTGAATGGAGTCTCTAGCTGTAGAAGATGTCTGGCAGTCTTTCCTTGTTTGCATGGCATCCCTAGTCACCTCTAGCAGATTGAAGACAGTGTATTGGTGTGTTTGTGTTCAAATAATGCAATAAATCTTTAAAAGACATGTCAGTGAATTAAAACATTGTCCTGATTTCAGAGCCTTTAAATTAATTTGGACTTGATGTCTGCAGAAAGATTTTGCATTAACTTCGCTTCAAATACTTCAAAAGCGCAATTTATTAAAACTTTATGAAAGATGCCACAATAACAAGGCATCAGCAGAGAGACGGCTGACAGATCTGCGGGAGCCCTGAAATAAACCACAGCGACACTGTCTCAAGCCCGTTCCTACGGAGTAATAAAATGACACAGGCTGGCAGCACCGACTGTAAGATTCAGGGACGCGCCGAAGAAACACAGGCTGCCATATTATGCTCTCTGCACAGTTCTTGCAAGACTCACAATCCCTTTATTTATGGTCACCCCCATCGCTGCGAGGGAGGTGAGACTCAGGACTGCGCTCTGCTCAAGGTTACCTACCCAAGCCACTTTGCGAAAACACGATTTTATTTTATTTTTAAGTCTGTCTCGTCCAAACTGAGCGCTCCGACCCCTACCACTCCCCCCGCCGCCAAGATACAACAGGTGAAGAGGTATCCCCGACGGCGCGAAAGCTCACGAATTTGCGCGACGCAAAAACGTCTCCCCGGCAACTCCGGCACTCGCGCGCTTTTCCGGCGGGCAGGCGAGGGGAGAGGGAGCGCGCGCGCCCCGATTTGAATCTCTCCCGGCAGGTGGAAAGCCGGGCGAACACCAACGGCCCCGAGATCCCAACACGGTCCGCTCCGCAGAAGCCCCCCCCC